ATGATCTTTCCCAAAAATTTGATGAATTTCCCAAGATGAACATAAACATCTATATACTTCAAGAATGTTCACAGCAACATAATTATAAAAACATACATGCAGCCACAAAACAAAAACTACTCATTGAATCAAATGAAAATCAAATAAGACAACTCTTTTAATTTTTCCATTTCATGCATTTTGATTCAATATTAAGCCATCTTTCAAATCTAATTTTCACATCCTGCTTTTTACAGTAATATTATTTATAACGAAAGCAAATTGATTAAGGAATTGTGAGTTGACACAGGATGCTTTTTATATGATTGTCAATAAAAACTATTTTGAATTTTTGGTAAGGAAAGATAATAGGTTGTCAAATTGGTAAGGAAAATTGGTGTCAATAAAAACTATTTTGAATTTTTGGTAAGCAAAGATAATAGGTTGTCAAATTGGTAAGGAAAATTGGTGTCAATAAAAACTATTTTGAATTTTTGGTAAGCAAAGATATATACATGTAATAGGTTGTCAAATTGGTAAGGAAAATCGGTGTCAATAAAAACTATTTTGAATTGTTGGTAAGCAAAGATAATAGGTTGTCAAATTGGTGTCAATAAAAACTATTTTGAATTTTTGGTAAGCAAAGATAATAGGTTGTCAAATTGGTAAGGAAAATTGGTGTCAATAAAAATTATTTTGAATTTTTGGTAAGCAAAGATAATAGGCTGTCAAATTGGTAGGAAAATTGAAATCCCCCATTTTTTTTTTATTTTACCTGATTAAAATCTTATATATATGATCAGCTTTCAGATGAATCTAAGACTTACCATTATTTTACTGAAAAAATTTGGTAACACTGGATGGTAACATGGACACTCTATATTACATGTAATTAAAAAAAATAAATGTAGGGCATACATTTGTTCATCAGCAATAAGTACATTTTTCCTTTAATCTTACTGCCTAATATTTTGTAGATCATATTAAGACAGAACCTGATACTCAAAAATAATAGACAATGACATCATGTATCAGTGCAGCAACCTTACAATTTCATGTCCATCCCTTTGTAAGATCGTACAAGTAGGAGCAAGAACACATTAGATAACTAAAACCAATTTGAACTATTTAAGAAATTTTAATCTGATAAAAACACAAAAACAAATTTTAAAAAAGAAAAGAAAGAGGGTTCAATGACCAAAGTTCATGTGAGTTATGCAGTTGATTTCTTGTTTAACAGTTCATTTAGATATTTCTTGAACTTATTTTCATAAGTCAGCATATTGCGTAACCGTTTCGTACAAATGTAAAGACAAATCAATAAAGACCATGTAAAATGATTGAACTTTATTTCTTACTTGTAAGTATAATTCATTTTATTTCATTAATCCAGAAACATATATATTGATACTTAATGATTAATCATGTAAAAATAATTGTCTGATTTATGCTGATTGACATCGAGTCAAGCTTATAATGCGATATGGTTCACCTTAACCTGCTTCCACTATTTTTTTTTTTTTTATCACATTGAGAATGTAATCTAGATTATTTTGATACATGTAAGTTATGTACCAACTTGGGAAGGGTAGGTCGCAGTCTTGACTACAGTAGTTTCCTACAATATTATGGATACTTGTTCGTTTTACAGTTTGTGCATTTAGTTGACTTAATGTTATATAATCAGACGAAATTATCGGATCTCCTGTAGTTGGTGATCGCAATACTGGTATACCAGTATTGTCCACAATACTGGTATAAAAATTTTGTACCAGTATTGTAACCTTTTTTTTTAAAAAACAGCAATACTGGTACATTACTGATATACCAGTATTGTAGTTGTATTGTTCACTATACTTTAAGGTGTATAATGAAAAATGAATTTTAAGCAAAATTAGATATTGAAGATCAAAGGGAGATTAAATGAACTCAAAAAGATTATAGAGGATAATTGTGAAATCAATTAACAACCAGTTAAAAATAATTACTATACTTATACAAATAAACAAAAGATTATTGTAATTAACTCATCTTATTCAAACAATTGTTAATTATATAAATAATTGCTTATAATTTTATCATATTTCTATATTTTATTTAATTCAATTTAGATAAAATTAAATCAAAGCTTTATTATCTGAGTTATTATTTAATAAATTCAAGCAAATTATTACACTATAACACTGTAAATTCAGCATTGCATTTACATGTATGCCATCGTATATTTTTTACAGATATTTTAATACATGTATACTAATATTATATGCATTTATTTGTCTTTATTTTCTTATTAATCTTTCACAATAAACATTATAAAAGATATCAATATCCATTAAACATAAAAAGTTGCTTAATAGGGGAACCTGATTATAATCAAATTAACTAGTTTGTCTACATGAATGTTAAGGGTAGTTAAAGCAGTTGATTCATAAACATGGGCAATACCATTTGTAGCAGATATATCTACTGGTACAAATACTCAAATACTAATACTAGACAAGCACTCCTACAGTAAGAGAGCCGTGCAGGTGCTATCTAAACAAGCCGTTGTAATCTAGTAAGCGTAAGAGAAAGTCCACAGACTGAATACCTAAATATCAATATAGGAAGTGGGGGTTGCAGAAATGCCATCTGAAGAAGAAATAAACAATACCAATGCTGATGATACAGAAGCTATAACAGAATTAATGTCAATATAAAATTCACTAAAATATACTATTGAGTCTTGGAAAGAGCGAGCTGGAAGAAAACATAGAAGAAAGTAAAGAGTTTGTTAAAATGCTGAGACAGTACGGTTCCCTTAAGAAAAAAACATCAGAAGATTTAAAACTTTCTTTGATTACAATTACAGTGTACCATCAATGGCATCATCAGTTAAACATACAATCATTCCATATAAAATTGTCATGTCATGTGTTAATATCATTATTCATATATATGTGACACCTTTAATAAAAGATTAATTACCTATATGTATTGTTTATTTTAAAAAAACACAATACTGGTCAGACAGAGCTCAGACATAAACAAGTCGATTTTTGTTTTTGACTTACATAAGTCAAAAAATGTATTTATTATAAAAATGTACTTTCATTTTCAGACTTATTTAAGTCAGAAAATGACAGACTTGTTTAGGTCTATTTGTGTTTATGAAAAGACTTAATTTTAATTAGTGGCCAAAGTGCACCACCTATGACATCATAAACCTGTGAGAGTTCACAATGACCTGAGCTATCTATATTTAATTATCTAATTGAACATTTTTACTTAACATAGAATATTTTCCTCATTTTGTGTGATTACAGATGGTTGCATTGTAAAGTAAATAAACATTATCTCCAATTTTTTAGACTCTCATGAATATTTTTCCTTAGAAGACAAAGCATTGTCTTTCAATGTTGTCATAATTTCATGTAGATGCATGACCTTTTTATAAATATGCATGGGTCTTGAAGTTGGCCAATTTTGGTAACTTATTGACTTGTAGGAGTCAATATTTGCAACTCTTTAATTTAGGTCAAATATTTCTTGCTTAACACTAATTGACTTATTGAAGTCATAATTTGTCTTAAATTAAAGGGGGAAAATCTTGAGACCTTCAAACTTAGACCTCTATGAGTCAAAAGCAGATTTAGACTTATTTATGTCTGAGCTCTGACTGCTGGTACAATACTGGAATACAATACTGGTACAAAATTTTTATACCAGTATTGTGCACAATACTAGTATACCAGTATTGCGATCACCAACTACAGGAGATCCAAATTATCATTCAACATCGTAATGATTTATCTTTTTATGTTCGATCCTGCGAATAATTTTTAACGTTAGTCATTAAAAGAAATACCGAATGGGCCTCCCCCTGTCAAGTTATCAAATGTAAATCTTTATAAGGCTTGATTTGGTGTATTGTCATTCTAGGTGAAATAGGAATGCTTTCTTTGATTGACATTCTCAATTAATTAGTTCTTACCATTGAAATTTATCTTACTAATCTTGTTTACTCGTGCCGCCTGGGGTCCGCCATATTGTAAACAACAGCATTGTTTCTCGGGAAACTTTGGTCACGTGATAAGAGAACCTGCAGTCGCGGTAAATACAAAATTAACAATTTTGATATGCACGTTTTGCTTATTTATACATTTTTTTTTAAAGAAGACAGATTTTTAGAGATTTCTTATTACACCAAGTAGTGAGTCGGACAGAGGTACTAACTGCATGAAAAGATTCTGGACGTACATTAAGCATAAACGGTCAGATGGGAGTAGCATACCACCGCTTAAATCAGCAGGCCTACTACACGACGACTCAACTGACAAAGCCAACATCTTAAATGCACAGTTCCAAGAAGCATTTTCAAGTAAAAATGACCTCAGTAACACAGAATTTAAGGAAAGATGCAACATGTCTGGCCAATACCCCACAGCACCTGATATTACCATCACACAAGATGGAATTAAGAAACTACTAAATGGTTTAAACCCCCATAAAGCTGCGGGCCAAGATAACATCTCACCTATGATCATTAAAGAACTAGCCAATGAAATAGCTCCAATACTCCAACTTGTCTTTCAGAGATCATATGACACAGGAGTGGTACCATCATTATGGAAAACAGCAAACGTTTGTCAGCCAGTTTTCAAAAAAGGGAAAAAGTTTGAACCAATCAACTACAGACCAATATCATTAACCTGTATATGTTGTAAGATAATGGAGCACATAGTAACCAGCCATATCATGTGCCATGCAGATAAAAACAACATCCTGTATGACCTTCAACATGGATTTCGGAAGAAACTATCATGTGAAACCCAGCTGATAGAATTCATCGACGACATCACCAAAAACCTTTATAGTGGCCAACAAACAGACTGCCTAATCATGGATTTTTCGAAGGCATTTGACAAGGTCGGCCATAGTCTACTAGCACACAAACTTCAACACTATGGAATAAGAGGAAAAACAAACGACTGGATTAAAAGCTACCTATCTGAGAGAACCCAAACGAGTACTAATGTGGTAGTGTGTTAATTTGGATATTTTTACTTTTGTATTATACTTTGATATTGTGATACTATATATTTGATGAGTGTAATATTTTTAATTCTAAGTATTTAGTGAGTTAGTTTCTAGTCATGCTCCACTGGTTATGTTCATTGTATGATTTTTTACATGGCTCAGTGAGTTTTGATATATTGGTTATTTGTTTACTCTCTGGGTTTTACTAGTTTGTATTGTGAAACTTTTTCTTCTTTGTGATAATTGGCTAATTTAGTCATATGGTCATTTTGGAGGGAAATTCTATTGTTAGGTCAGAATTTACTCATACTTTGAATTGTATAGTTGTGTGTTGTTTGCTTTGATATATTTATATTTGTGGACATCTTTGATTCCATTATCAGGTCAGTTTTCTCTACTTAATATGTCACATTCATACTAAAATACTGATATGAATAGATTGTATAGATGATTTGGTATGAATGGTCAGAATGAATGATTTCAGAGTAAAAGGTGTATAAAATAGATTAAAACATATAAAAGTATATTAAATATTGTTTAAATGAGTTTAACTAAATTGACACAGTCAAACAAATCATTTTGTAAGTATTTAAGCCATAAACAGTAAAATTATATGAATTACTCAGTTTAGTGAAAAGAAGTAATAGTAAAGATATAAAATAGTAATTTGTATGTTAAGACATATTTTAAACTATTAAATGATTTGATAATTTGATACGTAAACTATAAACACAAATAGTTATGATAATATTTTTATTACAGATATTTGAACCATACTGTTCGTATATCATGTAGAAGATTCCATATTGTAAATACAGGACCTATGTACCTCATACATGGTAGGTTGTGTATTCTGTTTATATGTGTGTTTTTGTGCTTAACATTTGTCTTGAGCATGGCTATAATATTTGTTTTAATAAGCTTATTGTGTTATGTTACTGTACGCTTTGCTTTATGTGTACTAATTCAATGTTGTTAGTAATTTGAATGGAATGACCCATAAATGACTATCAGAAGAATATTTGGTAGAATACCAATATGTTAAATGTTAAGATGTGTAATTTATGATGAGAACAATATTTCTCATGATTAACATTCTATGTAAATAGATTTGAAAGTAAATAACATGGAAAACCATAGTTGTCCAGTAGGAAGTATTTGAGTATTGTATTTTAGGTATTGTCACCTAGAATGAATAGAGTTATCTTTCTTTGTATTTATTATTTGTATTTGTATTGCAGGGTCATTTCTTATATTACACAATAAAACGAATCCATTGATCCTGAGGTGTTTATTTTATTATACGACCAAAACAACCTGGTTACACTAATAGAAGGGGAAACATCTGACTCCATTGAAGTAGAGTCTGGGGTACCACAAGGATCTGTGCTAGGACCCAGCCTCTTCCTCTTCTATATAAACGACATGCCAGAAAATATTAAATCAACTGTGAGGCTATTTGCAGATGACACCATTGTATACATCACAGTAACATCAGATGATAATACCCTCCAGGAAGATTTAGACAAGTTGGCTGTCTGGGAAGAAAAATGGATGATGCAATTCCATCCAGATAAATGTCAGGTATTATCAGTAACAAAGAACAGAACACCTATTATAAAGGATTATCGTTTACATAGCCACACTTTGGAGCACGTAACATCTGCAAAATGCTTAGGAGTAACTATAACATCAGACCTTAAATGGGAAAAACATATCGGAAACATCTGTGCCAAGGCAAATAAAACCATCGGATTTCTCAAAAGAAACCTCAATATCTCTAACAGCGATATCAAAGAAAAGGCCTATATCTCCCTCGTTAGACCAACAGTCGAGTATGCCAGCTCTCTATGGGATCCATACCTCCAAAAAGATAAACACAAGTTAGAAATGGTACAAAGGAGATCGGCCAGATATGTAACAAACCGGTACAGTAACAGATCATCCGTTACTGATATGTTGGAACAACTAAAGTGGGCACCACTTGAAGATAGAAGGAGAAGCGCAGGACTATCAATGCTGTATAAGATCAACAATCAGGAGGTCAACGTTGCAGCAAGCCACAAACTCGTTCCACCGGACAGGATCTCAAGAAATATGGGCACAAACTCTTTTCAGATCCCACAATGTAACACGACAACAAGGAAAGAGTCATTCTACCCGAGGACCATCAGGAATTGGAATGCCTTACCCTCCTCAGTTACATCTGTCAGCAGCCTTGAATCGTTCAAGAGGCTCCTGACAAACAAATAAATCAAAAGCCCTTGTTTTTAATCCCCACTGTTAAATATTTGTATAGCACCTTTTTTTTGTTTGTTACTTTAATCAAAATTATATTTGCGCACACCCAAAAGTGACAGAATAGTCAACATGATGACTGTGGTCACTAACCGGTAGAAGTAGAAGTAGAAGTGTTTGTTTCTATATTTCTTTCTATTCCTATATCATGTATTTACTGAAAATCTGAATGAAGACCGGCAAAACTATATAAATCGACATTTTTCCGATGCCGGCAATGTTGGATGTTGGACATTAAAGCAGAAGAAAGGTTGAGAAATACCATCTACTATATAAAAATAATTATTTCGAGCAGCATATACTATATACAGTTAAAAAGATGCTCATAACGATTGTAAAAAATGAATGCATCTGTCTGTGATAACTGAATTTCAACCTGTTAAAGCAAATGCAAAGGTAATATTCATGGAAGTCCGCTTCATTAGAACACATTCTATCAAATCATACTGGTTGTAAAATGTACACGCCAAGCATAGGATGCGACTACGCGAACATTGCCATCTTACAAGGGAAGCCGGTTTATGATCCTGTCTGAGTGTTGTGCATTCTCAAGTCTTTTAAAATATTATAAATATTGAATTTGGTTCAGTTACCATAGTACCAGAGATAAGAGTAAATATCAGCAGAGACATATATACTAAATTTTATATGTCTCTGATATCAGTATACTTGATGATCGCTATATTGAAAATTTCGTCCGAAATCGGTACAGCATGATTCATTCATGTAAAATATATATAGAAGATAGAAGTAACAACGTTGGCGTTTAAATTGTGCCGTTCACGAGAGATTCAACTCGTGCACACAAAAAAACACACAGTAAACACAACCATTAAAAAGCAAAGCATATCAATAAATAGATAAACAAATGTGAAAGAAAGTAAAGAAAATGAAAATGAATTAAAAAAAAAACAGTCGGAGTTCATCTGTCTTCCATTGTTAAACACGCTTGCTTGGCACACTCATAAATAAAATCGAAAAAAAAATCCCGAATTTTCCCCCAATCTACCCTTTTTGACCTAACAAAAGTACAAGTATGTGATCGGATGCAATCATTACCGGTAAATTAACAAGCAACGCAATAATTTTATGTATTAGTTATATACATTCACCCAAGATATATCATAAGAAAAGGGTGAGAGGAAAACAAAATGTTGGTGTCAAGCATTTTGGTAATGGCGATTTGCTGTCTAGCTTCTGGAGATGAATGAACAGTGGATGATGGTAAGTCAATAGAACTGAAAATAAAACATTGAGTAACAACGAACCAGGAAGAAACATTTTAAAGACATCTTTGCTATAAATCATTATTTCAAAATCTGAGATAAGTCACTTAAATACATTGAAAAGAGAATAGCGAACAATACAAAAATAAAACACTGGATAAAATATATGATACCTTTAATATAATTGCCAAGCCTTATATTAATATAATGTATCGCTAGACGAAAATTAGCACGTAAATTTGAATAAAGAAAAACGTACTATGAAATATCAATCTAAAAACAGTCAGTATATGGCAATTTGAGTGATTAAAACAGACAGTATTTATTAGTTATTGTAATCATAGAATAGACAGAAATATTAATTTGAAATTATCGAACTAGCTATTTTAACAACGGCGAGTCAAATACGGTAAATATGTCAAGGATAAAGAATTTCAGTTAGTAACTGGTTCCATTTTTGGTTTGGAGAACGACCTGTGTGTTTCCACGAGAGAGGTTAGAAATTTCACAAATCTTTGCTTATTTTTTTAGGCATATATGGAATACATACTCAAATGGTCCGACTTGTTAATTACCAAGCAATTTTATATACTCATATGGTCCAACCATATGAGTATGATGCACATATGGTCATACCTGTAAAGTCAAAATACATATATAGTCTGGAACAGATATATCTGTCCCCCCAAAAAAAACACAGTGGTTAAATGAAAACTTGAACACAAAGTATACATGTAAAGATGATCAATCATGAAGAACTAACGAAAAAACTGAATATGCAATCCGTTGGCGTGAAAGAACAAGCAGGACATGCAACTCCTGCCATTTGACTGGCGACTACGCGTCGTATTGCTCAGTGGCCAAAGACATGTAAGGATAAAAATCTGTGAACAAATCCCAAGCATCTAGGGAAATATTTCTACGACATATGACCATTTATTGTGACGTGACCATCATCTGATACATGTATCAGTAAATTGAATTTTAACTAAGATTGAGTCGTCTATGCGTGCATGGACAGATCCTGTTATTCCAGTAGCCCCACTTATTTCTTGGTTATTGGAAGTCACACCTAGTTAACATATACTGGGTAGGTTTGGGAAGTAAAGACTTTATCTTCGTTCGAGACGACGAGGGAGATTTTTAACGACATTGCCTACCCATGAGGGTCTTGCACGGTCGGATATCTTCGTTCGGTATACTTTATTAACCCCAGATTATGATCATATTGGATCACGTTGTTTGTACTTACATGAGCAACACGACGGGGGCCACATGGAGAGCAGGATCTGCTTACTCGTCCGGGAACACCCGAGATCACACCATGTTTCTTATGGGGTTCGTCTTGCTCAGTCTGTTTTTGACTTATGAGTTTGATTATCCCTTTAATATCTTTCGCCTCTCTTTGACCATTCCGATGTTTTGTTGTTGTTTTGTTGGTTTTTTTTGTTTGTTTCAATGTTTGTTTGTTTGTTTGTTTGGTTTTTTTTTTTTTTATATGCAAAATCGTTGTTTGTACCTTGCTGCACCATTATATTGCCAAAGGTGATTCTTGAGTTATATTGTATTGATTGTGCAACAATTTACTTTAAAAGTTCTATGGCGTTGTTATTTCAGATAGTCGTAGTGGTAAATTCAAGATTGATTTTAACCACAACTTGATTATCAGTTGTACTGATGGACAAACACATTATTTACTGATCGAAGTGATGAAGAAGAACGACACATAGTACTTTAGTATCGTATCAGTATTTCATTCAAAACTACCATCTTATATTTCAGGTTCTTGTAATGTCAACATTAATTTTCAAAGAAAACAGTCAGAAGTTATTGCGTTCCATGCTCGCATGTCGACTGTTGTTCAGTCTCTAGGTGTTCGTCAAACGCTGATATTCGATACGAAAATATCGAACCATGGCGACGGCTACAATAAAGCAACCGGTATATTTACAGTTCCTAAAAGTAGTACGTATGTATTTGTCTGGGTTATCCGTATGTATACAGCCGAGCATTCCATCGAGCTTGTGATCAACGACACAGTTTTTGGTTCATCCTTTCTTCGGGCTAAAAATGGAGACGATGGTTCAGTAAGTAATACAGTCGTAGTGGACGTTACAAGGGGCGATAATGTATTTGTTCGTAACCACGGTTCCTTGGTTGGAGATGGCATCATTAACAACAACCAGCATGGCAAATCAACGTTCTCTGGTTGGCGTTTGGGATAAATGAATTACAACACAAATAGATACATGTTCGAGAGACGCATGTTTTCTAACTTAATAAAAGCGCATACCTTATAGGACCATATATATCAATATCTTGATCTTTTTAAAATAAAGAAGGAATGTATTTGAAAACAATGGTTATCTCCATACAATATCAAATAAGAAGTGGTATGATTGCCAATGAGACAACTCTCCACAAGAGATCAAATGACACAGAAATTAACAACTGTAGGTCACCGTACGGTCTTGAACATTGAACTAAGCCCATACAAATGACAAATGTAAAACAATTCAAACGAGAAAACTAACGGCCCAATTTATGCACAAAATAATGAACGAAAAACAAATATGTTACACAGCAACAAACGACAACCACTGAACTTGATTACCGGCTCCTGACTTGAGACAGACACATACAGAATGTGGCGGGATTAAACTAGTTTGTAGGCGCCAACCCTCCCCTAACCTGGGACAGTGGTGTAACAGTACATCATAAGAACAAACTATAAAAATCAGTTGAAACAGGCTTAACTCATC